TGTGTGTATCCATGGAGTACTTTAAAGGCTAACCTAGCAACAACTGAAATAGTCAATTAGATGTTAACTGGGAAGATAGGTTTTCGTAAAACTGAGATGTTTAACTGGTTATTTCATTAACATATGTCTTTTGAAAGCTTCCGAGGAAAACAAAAAGCACAGAAAGATAGATATAACGAAAGTGGAGAATTGCTCAATGTGTCAGTCAGTATCAACAATGGACCTAAAATTAATGAATAATGGGTCAAGTTACCACACCGCATATCATCACATCGAGATGATAAGGTATTGAGACGGTGGCAGATAGGGATATAGGAAATTAAAATATAATGAAAGGTTGAAGAGAATCAATCGAAAAAAAAGAGGCGTAAAGCAACTGACGAAACGTTGTACGATGATCAGGATGAAGACAATGTGTGGGTGTATTTGGAATGCTTACACTCTGTCGATTTTAATTCTGATGCGGACTCCAACTGGGGAAGTCTACTTTCGTCTATACAGCCTGAATCAACAGTCAGAGACTTCATGGACTCATATCAACGTCTTAGTCTGATCGCACTTAACGTTTTCCAAGCGTAAACCTAGTTTAGTTAATATTGTACAACGGGGTATATGATGACTAATTCACGACACCAATAAGTATAAACATGGACTGAACTCAACTATGGCGGTAGTAATAAGAGGTATGATATTATTCAAGTTCTGATTGATTGTTAACAATATCACTGAAGACCAGTGTACCAATTAAGTGTCGTAATATAATAAATAATATTTATTATTATTATTATTATTCCTTTGGGTTCCTAGTGGAACATAGGTATTCAGCAGCACGCTTACATTCCACTCTGTTCTCCGCAATCTTCTCAACCTCGCTCCACGACTCCTCACAAGCTTTCATTTCTTCCTTACATCATCTCCTCCACATCACCCTCGGACGCCCAACTCGTCGTTTCCCCTTTGGATTCCACTTGAGGGCCTAGCGCGTGATGTCCCCAGTCGGCCTTTTCAGTGTATGCCCAATCCATCTCCACTTCCTTCTGCATATTTGTTGCATGATAGGTCCTTGGTTGGCTCGTTGCCAACAATTTCATTTTGATTTGCTTGATGATGGTTTATAGTGCAATCCAGGACGCGCATTTCATCATATTGAGAACTCGTCAGCTGGATGCAACTATATCTCAGTGAGTTATAATGTGTTCTCACTTAGATAATTCCTGTTTCACAAATATCACTGTCAATCACTAACGTATTACTTTTCAGCAAACACACATACATAAAAGGTGAAAAGTTCATAATCAAGGCGAAATATGAAATTCTTGCACGAATGAAAAAGGGGACACAAACATTCACACACACACAAACACATACCCTCACAAAAGTCAAAAGGATATACAATAAACGAGAAGGGTATGTGTTTAAAGCAAAGATTAAAATATTTAGTAAACTATGGCATAGTTTTATTGCTTGTATTACACTGTCGTTGATTAGATTTCACCGCTAGCCACTGCCCATCATTACTAAACTACGGCATACTTAGAAAATGATTCCACTTTAGATAATCAGATTTAAGGCAGATGATGACCTTTTGAGCAAAAAAAAGTATCATCACACACATATTAACCTCAAAAATTCATACCAAAAAAGTATTCGCGTTCAAAAGTAATAAGGTATGCGCATAGAGTAAGGATATTTTGATAATACACATGAACTCTCAATAAAAAAGAAATTTCTCTTTCAATCGCTTTTTCTTTCTTTCTCTCTCTCTCTCTCTCTCTCTCTCTAATTTTATTACTGATAAAAAGTGAGAAAGTTAGTCTATTGTAATCCAAAGCTTTAAAAGTTGATCTGTTTTTCTTTATCCTATAGAAATTGACAAGATATTTGCTATGTTATTCATAATCCCCACACAAACACAGTGGAGATGAATCAAAATAAAACACAACTAAGTTTTATAGATTAATGTCTACTCAAATCTAAGTGGATATTAGTAGATTTGAACGCCTGATAGAATGAAAGACAATCAGACGATCAAACCAGTGACCCACAGGTGAATACCCTTAAAGAGACTGGAAATATTCCTCAACTGCCTGTTAGATAGGAAAATAGCCAAACTATGACCTGGAATAACTGCATATAAGTCCAGTTTGTTATACATTACAGAAATATTTACTTGGTTGTAGGTAACAGAGGAATCTAGTACGCATATTTTGTCCTATTTGGGACTCGTCAACCGGACGTACCTAGTGAGTGGTGTTGTCCCCGCTGAGACTCGAACCTCGTACTCATCGCTTCAAACGCCAAAGCGTTATCATCTACTAGCTCACTGAGGTACGATAGTCACCTCTTGTACAAAGAGTATTAGTTAGTACTATTTGTTGATATGCATGTAATTCTTCATTGTTTTACTGGATCAAAATGTTCGACATCTATTGGCATATGCGCTGCTATGTGGATGCCTCGATATTGCCTGAATATTTATCACGATAACTTACAGAAATATATTGAAATACAAAGAAAAGGCATTGAAAAAATTAGTACTAACAGTCATTAAAGTCATACGGTAAGTTGGTCAATTCTAAATTATATATTATTATCCATTTCGTCCAACCGATAGATGCTACTTGGCGTGTTCATCAGGCATGCATATCACAATGATTCAACAAGTCATGCTAATGGGAACAGTTAATCCCTTGAGGTTCAATTATACCGGAAAAGTCTATTGGATAGTAGTAAAACAAGAAGCAATTACCATTATGATATAGGTAGCTGCGTTCTGATGGAGATTGATGGCAAAGTTGCACTGCTGACTGAGTGTAAGTGTAACAACAATAAGATGTGTCACGCAGGCAACCAGCAATTCATGCTAATGCTGCTTACCTAGTAGGTAGATTGAATTAGAAGAGTTGACATCAAATCAAGCATACTCCTTATCTGTTCTGCTCTTTTCCAGTCCCGATAGTATGGGTTTTCTAGCTGGAAACAATACAACCAAACTTAAATCGAAAACTGTCATAAAAACTATGCGTAACCGACTTGAATCAGATATCTTTTGGGTTATGTAGTCATCCACCACTATTACTAATCGAATTTGTTGAATACTATCCTCAATGTACTAAACTGATATACAGGTTAAATCAATTGAGATTTGCCACAAGAGTGACTATAGACATTTATATATGTGTGTACAAGACGTGTACTTGTGTAAGTGGTTTTGATAATACATAGGAATCAATAAGTTAGGCTACTTGTTTGACTACTAATACTCATTGTATCCTATAATTCAACCATTTCACGTTCCATACATTTTCAGTAGACGGCTTTAGACACCAAAACCCAGTGATACAATATTTTATAATTACATTATTATATATAGGAGTTGACTAGTCACAATATGATGTAAAACAACTACAGTATAGACAAGTATACGTGTTCATGTGAATGAGATTATTATTTTCACTTAGAGGTAGCTAGTTTGAATCATATCACGATTCAAGTTATCATTTCACCTAGAAATCATTACTCAGAATGGATAACATCAGTCTGTCAGGCTACAGTTATCGCAGATACTTAATTCCATCAATAAATTCAACACTAGGCGAATATGAATGAACTTTTGACCTATTTTATTCACTGTCAAAAATGACTTTTTTTTAATGAGTAACCATTTTAAATGTCAAGTCCAAAATGAAAGATAGTGAATGCCTTAAGTGAATATCAAATATGATAAAAAAAAGTTATTAAAACTAAAACAACCAGTAGGCAACAACGTGTAAGCGATTCCAAAGTCGAATCGAAATTCACTTAGGAACATTACACACATTCGCAGCTAGTGATACTACAACCTGGCTGAACAAAAACCTTGGTAAGTGGAGAGCGGCTTGAACCTGTGTACCATTGGTTGAAGGTCATCTCCTGAAACCAATCAGCCACAGCCGCATCTACCTTTTGCCTACGTTAAGGAAATGTAACGGATTGTCACATACATACATACACACACACACACACACACGTGTAAGCAGGGATCCGATAGGTTCATAGGTATATCTGCCAAAATTTTAATAAGTGCTCACCTTTACAGTTAGTTGGTTAGTTGCAAAGATAAAATCTGCCAGTAACTGTAAAGAATGCGTACAGAGTACTTCGAAGACAACTGTAACGGCTAGAAACCTCCGTAAATAAGTCTGGATTAAGACAATGACGCAAGGTTTGACATGTTCGCTATATATATATATATATATATATATATATAAACTTGGAATTTAGTTGGTAAATTGCTTATTTAATGGCCACTTCCATACAACAGTGCACTTGAGGTGTTCCAACCCATTAAGCTTAGTGCTCGTGAAACTAACTATATCCAACCTTACTATTATGCATATGAAAGTGACGAGTGACAATACGCATAAAAATCACAAACCTTTCAGTTTGTTTACAGCTATTAGTTATTTCTCAACTAGTAAAACGACAAATCAAGCAAAGTATAATAAATATATGAAGTGAAAGCATCTAACTGGTTACCTACCTACTCAGGTAGGTAGGTTTAGGTTCACAACCATCACTTTACTGGTTTGGGTATTGACCTTTCAGTCTATCGAAAGTTTGTCGATGACAGTCTTGCTATAATGAGATGCTGAAAAATATCAGGTCTCTTGAGGCTTTAAAGTGATAATCTAAGAAAGTTTGAGATGTACTTCATGGTTACTAAATGTAATATGATATTCAAGAAGATCTTTGGGTACGATATATCTTTAAATTACATTGATCCTTAAAGTTTTGAAGATAGTATCACTAGTCTATTATTTCCACAGAACTGTGCCTTGTTAGACACAGTTAGAAACAAACAGATAACAGACCAAAGTTCAATAAACATCGACTTTAGTTTATGAAACCAGAGACTTAAATCAGAAACCTCAACGTGATGATTAAGTTGCTTTAGCAAAACAAACAAACGATAATTTCAAGTAAAAAAAAATCCATTTATCACATAATCAATCACTTACTTCGATCTTGTTTCCGTTTTTTACAGTCAAAGTCCAACCTTCGCCCTTCAAGTTTTTCCGATGATGCTGTTGAAAAAAAAAGGGAGAGAGGAAACAGTAGTCGTTAGAGGATGGCGGTAATAACTCACTTGTGCGTAATAATACAGTACACAGAAAAGGTTAAAAGTGAAATAGAAAAATGAAAGTCTACTACAGAAGAATAGAACTACAATAATATGGTTGTCTAGATTTGAAAGTATGACAAAAAAGAGGGTTGAGTTAAGCACCAATGGTTACATTAATGATACAAATATGCTTATACTACAGAAAAACGATTCCTTTTAACCTTGCAAACTTTAATGAGTCTTTGCTTATCTACACAACTCTAAATAATACTAATAATTATAATAATGACAACAATAATAGCAATAGTAATAATAATCCAAATCTTAACTTACTACCACCAAATATACTTATAGTCCTTGAATTTTAGTCTACTCTCGCTAATACAATACATGAAAGTATGAGGTTGTATAGAAGGAATAATACAAACCCATTATGTTTCACTATGAATGAACATAACATCGCCTGGTTAGCTTGTCTAACTCAGTAACTACATCTCATACGAATATTTCACGGTAACCAAGTTTAATCTACTCTAAAAGTGTAACCTTAGTTTGTACGATTCCACAAAATCAATGATGATAGATTACCACAGAGAAGAATAAAAACACTCCAGACTAATTCACAGACAAACATATATATTTCTTTTAAAGTGAAAAGGGATATTAATAGAAGTATGTTCCAACAGATCATCAATAACTGAATGATAAAACCAACGTACAACGACGCACACAAGTGTATCGGTTCACGCTGCCTCACTGGGCTCAGATCGAAAGTAAGAGACTTCATTAACTGCTTCCACGTCTCCGTCTGATCACGCTGAACTCTCTTCCAACATGGGCGGCGGATCAGTATGCGCAACACATGTCTAAGCCATCTCAGTCGACTAGGGTTCATAACCTCACTAATCGACTTGCCTGTCTTGCCTACTACCTTTCGCCTGACTTATTGTTCAAGCAATGCTGTGAAGACAACTGTGGTGAGAACCGTGTAACCCCTTCATGTTTTCTACTGTATAAGACCATATCTCACAGCCGTATAACAGAACAGAATGAATTGCAGCACAGTATACTGGTCCTTTGATGGATAGTGGGATATCTTGTCGGTAGGCGTCACAGATGACGAAAGCTTGCAAAACGATAATAACTGAAAATTCCTTTTATCCAACCTGCTCCAATAAATGTAATTTCTGATTCAAAAACCTTTAATCGCTACTAAATTACACAGAGACGAATACTAATTATGAAATGCTAATTATAAGTAGTCACACATAACTTTCATATTTCTACTCAAACTATTCACAAGACGACCATCAAAATGAATGTGACAGCTGTAATCGATTTTTATTAAACACAAAAAATAGCGATACGCTAGTGGTGCATGTATGATTACCAAAAGATTAATATCACTACGATTTCCTTAGGATTTCTGTGCAGTGCACTCGATAAAATGGTTGACAAAACTCGGTTAACTGTATTCGTGGCTAGGCAAAAGAAGTTACGACTTCACGGTGAAAAATGCACTGATTTGTTCGGTGTAATTAGAAGGGATCAGGAAAAAGGCGAACAACTATTTTTGAAACTGACTACAGTTACACGCCCTGTAAAATATATATGAATAAATTTTAAGTTAAAAGTAACACAAATGTATGCTGCTCCAATTACGAGTTGAAGTAAGTTATAACCTTCTACTGCCCAGGCAACCTAGCATGACTGTACATGTTGACAAAGAAGGCTGAAGGTTTACAGCTGCATACACGATGGTCAATATAATGAAAAGGTTATGCTGAGTTGTTTCTATACGCAACTAAACGATAGTGACGCTTACCTTTTTAACAGATGAATTGACAGGAAATGGCCTAAATCGAAATCAAGACATCAAATGATCAGTCGCTAAAATAGAAGTTTTGCATCTCAACTTTTGATTCGTGTTACTGCGTGGTCAAGAAAAACAATATTAAGCAATTTCTCCTACAGTTGACCAATCAAAATAAATATCAAACTTTTAACCTAATGGTTTTATTTGTTTACAAAACTGCATATAAATGATGTACTTCTAGTAGTTTAAAATTCCCCATTAAGTTATACAACAAAAGACTGTGAGCGAAGAGTCTGTCTTTTCAGCGATATCATTCTAAAGCCGTACAATCGCATGTAAATATTATATTCATATAATAACAGACAAGGAATGTTATATGAAATATTTTAAACGAAGTTTAGATTGATTGTAAATCAGGAGATCAAGGAGGAGGATTACGTAATGCTTCAAACAGTAATGGGGAGAAAACTTATCGAGACCGAAGTAATATTTAGTTACCAAGTTAAATGATGTAATGTGGAGAATGTAAAGAGAAATCAGAATTATAGGAGTGGAGGAATGTAACATGTGAGAGGATATGAATGAGATTTTCAAAGGTAAAAGTGTTCTTATAGGTTATGTCCATTGCAATTCAAGCGACTGAACAAACTTCTTTTGAACGCAGAGTTCAGGCTATAAACTATTAATTACCAAGTTTTAGGCATACACCTTTTATGAGATTTGTACGAACTCTATAGATGACACTAAAGTTGTTTTCTGCATTTACCTGATGGTCATAATGAATCAATTATTCGAAAATAAAGCTATGTAGTGTTCACCTTTCTCCCTTGTAGAAGCAGGCTGGTATATGCTCAAAATGTGTTTAGAAAGTGAACGTCAAATACGGTCAATACACTTTACTCCACAGAAGCAGGTGAAGTCATAAACAGACATTGAGGTAGACAAGGGAGTTTGTTTTTCCTTGATGCATAATCAAAGCAATGGGTAAGTAGCGAAAGTGAATTTAAGTTTGGCAGCATAGATGTGCAGCTAAAAAGACAAGACAGTGATGTATTTTTGTCGAATAAAGTGCCTTCCTAACAGTTGCAGCCCAGTCTTTCTCTTCTGATTTTCGAGGCTAAGTGAAGTATAAGATTCTGAGGGAGAACCGTCACTATTCGTATCCCGTCTACGTGTATCATTACATTATGATCGTTCGTGTTATTATTTTATTCACTCGATGACTCTATGAATGATGAGTAATAAAGTAGTACTACTACATATTGCTCAAAGGAGAAACTTTCGCATCTGACCACTTCTACGTGTATATATCAATTCATCTGCTCTTGTGGAGCTAGGTATACAAGTCGTTTGATGCGACTGTTATCCAAAAAGGTTTAAGAGCACTATCCCGCATGGTTACAAAGAGGTAACGATGGAGCGACAAGGAGTGCTACAATTAAACACATCGTGAACACGAATCATCCTATCTCAAGAACCTCCTCGTTCAAAGTCATCCGTAAAGTGAAAAGAAACCTTCCGAAGGCTGTATGTCTTGCCGAAGCTCTTGTCATACATATACAGAAACCTGAACTTTGTTCAATCTCTTCTACTTTCATGTTCTTAGTTTTCAGTCTTTGAAATCTTCTTTACCCCCCCCCCCCCCATTACTCTTCATTTTTCTGTTTTAACACTATTCCTTTCCTAAGTTATCTGTTAACCTTTTTTGCTCTGTCTCATCATAACTCCCTTTCCAATTATGTCATCATGTCACGAAACTAGTTCTTCTTCCATATCTTAATGGGTATATTTCACATAGAGTTCATTTCATCTACTGTGAAAATGCAATACTATTGAATAGATTATGCAAGTATTTCTCTTCCTTTTCAAGTAATTATTATTTTGACCCGTTATATTAAGTTTAACATGTTATAAAAGGTATAAAAATAAGTCCAATATTAGTTTATATCGGAAATTAATTCTTATATTCAACATGATATACTAAACTATGCTAAAATTGAACTGAAGTTTCTTCTGGCTCTGAAATTACACTCATAGTTAAATTCAATTTTTATGCCAGAATTTAAGTTTTACCTATAGAGTTACCACAGCAAATCAATAGTAGGCATGAAATAAAAAAAAAAGGACCTGACATAATCGTGTAACCGTCCAAGTGATGAAAATTCACTGTATCGCAGTAAGAAGGAATACACAGGGGGTAAGGATGAGAAATAAAAAAAAGTAGAGAGAAAAAAATCAACAGGTGATGAGAATATATGATGAGATTTTTTAAAATTTTGGATAAAGACTATCCACGGATGCATTTGTACAACTGCAATCTATCCTATATCATATCATTTGATAGGTTCAACCGTTATTTCTAGGGTTACCCTGAAAAAGGGTGGAACAAATCTGCAACTGAAGATGAGAATGACGATGATTCGATGTATTCTAAATTAATGCTAGGGATGTCATCAAGTTTTGGGATGAAACATCAAACCACTGTCAAAGCTTACTCTACTAGAGAATTGAAGGAAAGTTGGCTGCACGCCAATGAAATAAAATACAGAACGATAATCTTGCCAACTTCTTTTCATATATTTGCCATGCTAAGTAGGTCACCTATGATAGACATAACCACTTCTTGGCAAAACTTGATAACTAGTCATTTGAGCGACTTGACGAAGTATTAAACTAAATAAAGTAAAACTATGAAGCTGTTATATGCTGTGCAATAATATTGTTTAGATGCTTTAAAGAAGTTGTGAATCCCTGACACTTTTCACAACCAATCATTTTGCTACAAAGTTTTTTTTGTAAAGCACGTGATCATACGTGTAAACATCAGATTGCTTGAAGAGGCCAAATCAATAGGTTATGTTCTTTCAGGAAGGTCTAGAAATAGCAAAGACCATCGTAAATATTTATAAATCATTGTATTTCGTTCATATTTTGACATCGCAATACACCTTCTGTTGACTTCCTACCCTTTCTATTTTTCGAGGAACTGACTGACTATTAAAGGTGGAATCTGAAGATTATTGTTCAGTTGTTCATAACCAGGTTATGTCACTAAGCAATTAAAGGCGGAAAACAAGTGCGATGTCAATTGGAAGTTTTAATCACAATCATTTCCATAAAAGTGATCTACAAACTAACGATTTAGT